CCCCAAAACCCCAAAACCCCAAAACCCCAAAACCCCAAAACCCCTCAGGGTTAGATTTAGGATAGAATATTAAAATGAATTGAATTGATAATATTTATAAAAAGCTTGCAAAATACAGAATCTTCATTTCCGTAATCATATTCTTATTCAATGATTGAGAGCACCGCTATAAACTCTTCTGATTCAAACATACAAAAAGGACAAGATAATTTTCACTTGCTAGAATCGTAAGTTCCAATACATCTTTGAAGCTAAAAAATTAATAGAAATTAAGAAAATTCGAAACAAAATATAGAGATGACTAATGATGAAATTAAAGATGCCAGAGACACTTAGGTTGGCCAAGGAATAAAATAAATTGAGGAAATCTACTCTCAAGATTTTCAAAGATAAGATAGCTAGCACAATGACTTTAGCTTTAATACATTCGGTGAAAAGCCTATAGTATCCTATTAGAACCTTAATGAAATTGTAAGAAAAAATGATAAGGATATATGGTTAAATGAAAATATAGAATCTGCAATTGAGGATAGATTTTATGGAAACCGAAATGAAGCATCTTATATTTAAGAATAATGAACTTACTTAGATAGCAAGATACTATTAATCTAACATTCAGAGACTAAGTAAGAACTACCATAAAATCTCCCTTTCAATAATCTTAAAATTTTCCATAGTACACACTATAGATAGTGAAGTGATTGCATATTTCTCAGGAAGCAATGTTTCTACGAGTGACAGATTGTAAGAAAATGATGACGTGATTGCTTAAAAATAAAGAGCAGATACGTAATCATCACAAACCAAGAACAATATAGAAGGCTCAGATAGTGAAACTTTTACTAATGTTGTTGACTATCAATCAAAAATTAAAATAACAATCAACAAGGTGATGGATATTCATTCTAGAAATCTCGGATAGATTGATGAGGAAGATCCTATGCAATCTAATTTCAATTCTGAAGTGTAAAATACAGTGATTGAGTCCTAGAGAATTGCAAACATCTCAAGGCCTTAAAACCATGTTGAGATTCAGTAGGATTACCACAAGTAGCAAGTTCAAATACTTGAGAGTAAAATAACTTAAATGATGTCAATCATCCAAACTGATCTAATGGGGTAAAGGTAAAACACATTAGACAGTAAGATTAGCTCAGCAAAAAGAGTATCACTTATAGGAAAAGCTTACGGGGCTGTGATAAAGTCACTAACACCAAACAACTATTCAAATAAAAGTCATAACTTTAGCCTTTTAAACCCCAAAATTAATTAAGATTTAAACACCTCTAATAACATATAAAGCTCAGTGGCAAGTCAAAGTATCTTAAATCATTAGCATGCTTTAATGGGAGTTAGTGTAGCATCCAGAGATAATCTTTTGGGAGAAACTCATACAGATATTATGACCACCGATGCTTATGATAAATCTGAGTCGAAAAGGTTTGACAAGAGCTATCTTTCAAAGGCTATTTCAGTTTAAGAGGAGTTTTAGCTTTAAAACATTAATGCTAAGCAAAGTCAATTAGTATAAAAACAAAAATCAGAGTAAATAATTTCAGGAATATTGAATAGAAACAAAGGGGCAAGATCATTTGTTTAAAAGTAAAAGACTTAACTTCTTAAATCATCTAATGCTGATAGCCATTCAGAATATATCAGTGCAAATAGAAGGAATCATTCCACAACCAGAAGCTAAGATAGATGGCAAGTATTTAACCATGCTACAGCAGGCAACTTAAGAGAATAATCAGTTGATAGTTATTTAGATGAACCATTGTAGGGTATTGAGCCAACAAAGTGGACTCCTAATGAAAGATTTAACAATTGCCAAGTCTGTTCAAATCAATTTGGAATATTCAAAAGAAAGCATCATTGTCGGTCATGCGGACAGTTAGTATGCGCTGGATGCTCTCCTAATAAGGATTATGTGTTTGGTTACAAGGATATTAAAGTAAGAGTTTGTTAGCAATGTCTGTCCAAGAAAAAGAAGAGAGTAAGACTTCAGCTAAAGAAAAGAGTGTTTACAAGCGCCAATAGTTCCCTCGCAAACTAACCTAGATACAGAAAAAGATGAATTACAATTACATCACCAAGGACAGCACTTCACATTTGAGTCCCAGAAATAAAATAGTTTGATAGCTTAATGAGATCAATTCACAAATATGGGTATGTATCAAAAGATATCATATAAATTATTATTAATTATCATTTTTTTGTAATACCAATTTAATTTCCTCCTTCTTGCCTTTCAATTTTAGCTTCACGGGGTTTTGGGGTTTTGGGGTTTTGGGGAGATCGGAAGAGCACACGTCT